TTTTTTTTTTTTTTTGCTATAATACAGTGAAGACCTTCGGTTCTTTATTGCAGAATAAGAAGAGGTATTTCACGTCAATCCCAACAAAATTCAGATGATTCTAACTTCTATACTACATGGCTTGCTAGACATCCGAAAAAATGAATCATATGTTGTGATAAAACAATGTAGAGACATGCTACCTCTCCGCCAGTATGTTGTTCTCAACGAGAACCGAAATGAAACGCAGTATGTTCATGTGAACTGAGAGCCAAACTATGGTCTCTGGAAGACGAATCCAAAAACAACAGTTGAAGAAACACACTGCATTTAAGCAGTTTTAAAGGTCTTGCTAAACCGAGACAAATGCAGCCAGAAAAATAAAAATTTTTCACATTTACTTATACAGTTATGATCTCGTAACGGTTCATATTTATTCATCAAGTTTATTATGGAGAGGCCTTTTAATCATCAGGATACTCGAATAATGGATTACTGAAAATATGCTCGTTTCCATAGATAAATAATTCCATTGTTCGCTATATCGGAAAGCACCCGGTTGGGTGAACTTCAACACTTCACTTACGTGCATGTTGCTCCTTTCAATACAGCTAACTTTGCGGAGACCAAAGTTCCCCCAAAATTGTTTTTTTGTATATTTCCTCGGGTTTTCTACGTGATATGCAGTTTTTGCGCTTATTTTTTTGAATGCAAATAAGGCGGCACTTTTCTAAAGTTATAAGATCATTTGTAAACCACTCAGTTTTTTTGCGTGACATCTAGGCCGGTTCTAAAAGCAGAACCTGTTATTATATTCATTCTGTAAGACCGCAGGAGCAGTAATGCCAGCAAGGTAGGTCAGGAAATGCACCATCATGTCATGCTGGTATCGTAGGAAAAACTTTTTGGATGAAACTACAGACGGAAACCTACTCCGACGCTCATAAAATAGCAAAAGCAGTCTCTCCCAAAAAACAGAACCACTTAAAGCTTTTTAACGAGTTTTACTTACACAGTTAAAAGACTGAGTAAAGAGATACTTTTGAGCAAAATAGAAAATGATCAAGAATCTAGGAACTATGAGTAGAAGAATTCCACAGGGGATGGATTTGAATTTCTTTTAGATTCCTAGAACTATGGTTGCGAAATGATCGCAGTATCCATTAAGCAACATGCTAGGCTTTCATTTGGACTGGTAGCCCCATTACGTTGAGTGGCTGGAAAAGATGATGTGAATCAAATGCTCGCTTATTTTATACAGTACATGCAGTATACGCATGCCGTATATAGTACGTCTAAATCACTGAAAACGGTGGGAGGTATAATCACGTTCAATTCTAG